CCGTTAGCAGGCATTTTTATCGTACATACGCCGCGTAAAAGTTTCATCGAGCTCAAAGGTCCTACATGCTCGTCGAATTGAAACCGAAACTCCAGAATAAGATGCGCCCACGTGCGTTCGTTCCTCCTCCCGATCGAGATCCGCAGGCTATCGTGAAACTCTACTTTCGCCCTTTGCGGAGCTAGAATTTTATCACAGCGGGTATATAGGGCAGTGGAACGCTTTGGCCGTTAGAGAAACGTGTAGATTGGATTAATGTACCGTGTTCCTTCTCGTATCAGCTAGTGAAAATCGCGCGGTAAGGAAAGATTTCTGATCGTGTAAGGGAAGATTTTGGTTGCGAGTGTAACTGTCTAGAGCTTTGTCTTGGACGAAATTGGAGATAACTTGTAATGGAGAATGGCGGTGTAGGATGTGAGATGAGAATGCGTGTACCAATCTGTGAATGACCGTGGCCATGTGTGAGTATAAAAGCCAAGAGTGAAATGAGAAAAAAGGATCGCAAGAGCGAAGGGTGTTCAGAAATAAAACTGTACTCCTATCAAAAACCAAAGACCACTTAAATAATACCCCTACAACGGTGATGTATCAAGGGTTTCGAATAGGTGTGTTTAACACACAGCCGCTCAGGCAGTCGTTTTGGGAGCAAGAGCACTCTTTTTTGCCCGGAGCTCAGCCGGGGGCAGCGGTCGGAGCAAATGGCGCCGGCAGTCGTAAAAGGAGCAGGGAACAACGGTTATGGTGAGAGCGTAGACTCTAGGTAGGCATGAGTTGGCACGTTCGTGAGACACTTTGTACCATCGGTTACATTTCGCAACACGTGCCTATCTTCGAAATATAGCTCTCGCTCTTAGGCCGAGCGATCGCTACTACATTCATACAATACCCCACCACAGGATCATTGCTCAAGTAGACGTAGTTTATCGCTCCAAAATCGCTCCGTGTTCCCGTTTGTCCGACCACTTCACGTAGAACAACTTCGCGAGCAGGCCTGGTCCACTGGATCAGCTTTACGCTTCGAATTGTAAATTTCAACGTAGTTTGAACCTGTGGTATTTGTTTTACGTTGGACGTACAGGTACTACTCTGTTCAAAAAATCCAAGATAAATTCTTTTTTTGTTTATCACAGCGTGGTGCACAAAACATTCTTACCCGTCTGGTTGAGCAGCGAATGGAAAATAATGCTTGGGTGTCATGAGGCGTTTGCTTGATTCGATTCGCAAAAAATTTGCAAGATTTATGGGAAAATAACTCATGAATTTTACACTACAATGACCTACCAGCTCACGCTTCGATGTTTGCTCGTGACTTTTTTTTTTTGGCAAAAACTCGACTAACATGATTCTGCGAGCACTGCATTCGCCTGACCAAGCACCATGCGACTTTTTCCCGTCTTCCAAACTGAAACTTCTGCTACGGAGACACCGTTTTGACTCAATTGTGACGATAAAACGAAAAACTATTGGCGTACGTCGAATAGATGTATCATAGAATTTTCTGATCGAAATAGTAAATCTTGTGTTCTTTTCTTAACCCTTTCGCTACGACAGATTTTAATGCGTAACGTGGGTGACTGACGGTACATTTTTATCCACGGCTGGAAAGTTTATTTTGACCGTATCAATTTAAAATTCAGTTTATTAAATTAAGATGGAAGTGCGTAAAGGATAAAATTAAGCATTGAATTAAGGTGGAAGTGCACCAAAAGGCTCCAGCAGTATAGTGCGAGCAAATTTTCAAAACGCCTATAGGCGTCAATAGTAATGAAAGGGTTAACAAAATGTACATCAAATTTTGAACACCGTCGTTGCATCTCTATTCTTCCTCGCTACGATTATTCCGGTCGTAGGTCAATACGAAAAGCTCATAGAAAATCCAATGTAGCTGTTAATAACAAATGTTGCGCGACCACCGAAACCATCCGAGATCTATTCCTTCCTGCAGTTTTTCGCGCGGGACGTTCGCATAATTTATGACACGACGCCCAGAGGGCTGGCGTTACACGTGAAAGCAAGATGCTCGATGTCGTAACATTTTTCCGAAGCTTCCCACCCCGTCTCGTGTTCCGGGAACTATCGAGTCGAAAGAACTTGTGTTCCTACTTCTATTCCGCTTCTGTTGCTCACGAAATTTCCAGCGCAACAGCTTTGCTTCATCGGCCGTGTCATCGACCCCTATTGCTCGGCGAGCGATGAACCAAGAATTACAAACGGAAACAAGGGAAACGGCGAGAAAGTATATGAAGTACTGCAGTGACAAATATTATTTGCTATAACGCAACAGGAGAGAAGAAAATATTTACTCTGCCCAACCTGGATATTTTCATATTTGCGTTAGGTCGTCGCATAAGTTCGTGCCGAAAACGGAAAATATTTTAATGAAAATCGAAGGAAATTCTATAGCGACTATATAATGAATTGTGGAATGAGAAAACGCTTGCGTTTCTTTTCTCAAATGTGCGTTGGAAATATTGATCTACATTATAAAATTCGGCACGAACTGATGATCTACACACGCAGTTATCACACGATAAGAAAATACGCACAAAAATTCACAGAAAATTCTACAACGAACACAAGACACGATACCCATCTCGATATGAGATTACACAGGGCTCAAGGGTATTGTCGCTAAAAAAAAAAAAATGAACTCTTTCTACGCTTGAATAAAGTTCACCGTTGCTTACGAAGACACAGTATAAATAAGAAACGAAGATGTCATCTGGCAAGCTGGAGCTGGAAAATTCGTTTTCACTGAATTATACACAGCCGCTGGTCACTGGAGCACCGTGAGAGCAGCCGGGGGTCAGAGGAAAAGATTAAGGAGCGTTCGTAAAACATGG